AAAAAAAAAAAAAAAAAATCAATGGACAATCACTCAGACAGTGTTAAGGCACGGGAGACGCTGGTGCTGATCTTCCTTCCATCTACCCAGAGCCCATGGCATGGACAGGCATACTTCTGAGGACCACCTGCAGGAAGCGTCCACCTACCACTTCAGTAGTGGGACCTTGGAACCTCTTACAGACAGGCCGACTGTGTCACCAAGGCTGGAACTTGAGATGCAACTAGCCCTCTGCTGCTTTGTAGAATAAGGAGTCTGTCTGTTACACCAGTTTGTTGTTGTTAAGTGATGTTGAGTCGGTTCCGATTCAGAGCTACCCTGTATGGGGTTTCCAAGGAGCAGTGGGTGGGTTTGAACTGCTGATCTTGTGGTTCACAGTCCAGTGCTGATCCTAAAGCACCATACTAGGAGTCTTGTTGTTGTTGTTGCTGTGAGGTACCATCGAGTCGGTACCCCCCAGAAAAGGTAACAGGGCCCCAGAGGACAGGGAGGAAATGTTTTCGCTCTTGAAGAAATAGCTTCCATAGGAGCACACTTTATGGCCACAGTGCCTAGCAATGCAAATGCCCAACTGGTATTTGCCAATTGACCTTATTCAAATGCTACTCACTCTTTAAGGTACAGCTTCATTTCCTGGAGCCTTCAGGGCCACCAAAGGCCATACAATCTCAGTGTACGACGCTACACCACTGGCATTTATATTCTGCAGAAAAACTCCTTATGGTGGGGCTACAAACAATTACTATTTGTTGGGGCCAAATGCATTTTGTGTTATGTAAATATATAACTTTAAGTATATTATGCAAATGTATTACCTTAGGGAATCACTTTTATAATAAAAATGTTATATTGTGCTTTCTACGTGCTATTGAAAGCACCATTGAAAATTCATTTAGCTCTATTAACTTATTTAATCTGCAAATACTCTACATGACAGGTTTCACTATTATCCCTGTTTTACTGGTAAGGAACGGAGTCACAGAGACACTAAGGAATTTGCCCAAGGCCACACATCTGATGAGTGGCAGAGTCAGGCTTTAAGCTCAGAACCCAAGGCCTTAGCCACTCTGAAAATCACCTCCCAAAATACACAGTTCTAAAACTATTGTTGGAAGATGCTATTGTTACTTAACTTTCCGCAGGTCATGTCTTCTCCGGCCAGCTGGATGGATCCCCCAGAGCAAAGTCTGTCCTTCCCTCCTACATCTAATACATCTATGCACAGGGGGGTAGATAGATCGGTTTGATTGACTAAAGGGTCTCTCAATGGGAAACATCATCTTCCAAGCCCATTTTGGAGGGTCCATCCTCTTTAAGTCAACACATGTGACCTGTTCCTGAAGCAGGATTCACCATGGGAAATCCAAAACCACTATGTCAGACTCCAGGTCCACAGCCTGAGAAGGACAGGGGGAGAGGGATATGCTCTTCTATGTTCAAAGGACCAAGGTTATCCTGAATTTCAGTGTCACCATGACAGTCAATAGCAACAGTCTCACTATGAAAATACTGCTGGTTATGGTTATTGTTGTTGTTGTTGTTAGAGCCATCAAGTGAGTTCTGATCCATAAAGACCCTGCATAAGGTTTCCAAGGAGCAGCTGGTGAGCTTGAACCACTGACCTTGCAGATCAAAATGACTTTGCAGTCCAGTGCATTAACCCACAGTGGTAATGATAAAAGAGAAAAACAAGTCCCAGGCCATATGTCTTCCCCCGGGCAGTGAGAAGGGGCCTGGATAAGGAGATGGAGAGTCCTGGATTCTAACTTGGGTTTGACCATCAACTTGCTCTGTGTTCTTTGGCAAGCCACTCCACCTCGTAGGGCCTCAACTTCCCCATCAAATGAGGGGTTGGGGCCCAATGGTCTCTATGACCTTTGCAGTTCAACCTCTCTAGAAACTCAGCAGTCGCACCTTCTGAGGCCATGTTCCTACCACAGCTCCCTCCACTTCCTTCACTGCTGCCCACCAATTCTTTCCACATCCTGAGAACTTCAGAGTACAGATGATCGACTTAGTTGCAGGTAAACAGAGAAGGTGGAGCAAAGCCCAACAGCGAATCACCCATCATTAGGGGACAGCAAGCCAAAAATCAGAGGGAAAATCCCAATCTGCAAACCTCTCTTCTCAGGAACTCTTTTCCACCCCTCTATCCCCATTAGCCATGTTATTGTTGTTGTTGTTAAGCACTGTCAAATCAGTTCTGACTCACAGTGAACCTGTATAAGGTGGGTTTGAACTACTGGTCTTATGATTATATTAGCAGTCTGTCCAGTGTTAATCCAGGAGTCCAAGACAGTTTATTAACTGTGATTAAAGAATAGGGAGGAAGTATGTATAGCTCCCTCACTCCACTCCCAGGGAGGCTGCTCAGGCTGACCATGAATAGTTCACTCTCTGGTAGACCCAGTTACTTCCAGGAGCATTACCTTCTGTCCAAAAGCCTCCTAACTCCACCTGCTCCACTCTGGGCAAGAACGATCTCTGGACCCCAAGACCCAGTCAGAGGGGAGAGTTGTGGAAACCCCCAGAGAAAGAGGCAAGCTTCTGAGGAAGGAGAAGGGAAGATGGTCTGCTTTCGTAGAGGTGAGCCTAGGAGAAACATCTTCCAGCTAGTACACTGGCCATGGCTTCTTCATTCATAGTGTATGGATTAAGGTATTTGTTGAATAAGTGAATGAATAGATCATCTCAAGTCTTGACACCAAAAATGAATCATTTCTAGTAAAGCATCCCATATGCACTGAGATAAAACCAAACATTGTCAATGAGTCAATCCCTACTTATGGCAAACCCATACATTACCAATTAGAACTCCTCCATAGAGTTTTCAGATGGTGTAATCTTCCTGAGAAAGACACCATGCTTGGTAAACAGAGTGTCAGCAAAAAAGAGGAAGACCCTCAACGAGATGGACTGACATAATCGGTTCAAACACAGGAACAATTATAAGGTTGGCCCAAGACCGAGCAGTATTTCATTCTGTTGTACCTAGGACTGTTACAAGATAGACGGCACCTAACAACAAAAGCAGCAATCCTTATGAAAGCAGATCACCAAGACTTTCTTCCATGGATCCACTGGATGGGATTGAACAGTCAATTTTCAAGTTAGTAGTCAAGTGCAAACCATTTGTGTTACCTGGGAACTTTACTGGATTGAAAGGGCTTTGAAAACTTCACAGCAGCGGACAGCACAAATGTACAGGGCATTATGCTTATTGTAACTGTCAGAACACCTCATTTCTTGAGGCTCAGATCATCACGGTCCTCCGGGCTCTGAGGCAATGATGCAAGAAAGAACCAGTGGGGTATGAAGAGCTGTTTGTGATAAAAAGTCCAGCCTTCCCACCTGGCATTACTAACTGGTCATTCTTCTGTCCTTTCTACAGCCAGGAGCAAGCCCACCCTAACCTGCTGCCTACTCTCCTTTGGGTTGAAATTCAAAGCTGCCAGTAAAAAAACAAAAACAAGAAACAAACCAACTAAGCTCATTGAGCTAGGAGTCTTAATTTTTTGTACAGTACAGAGTCAGGTTCTAGTGGAAGACAGTTCTTTGTCTCATGTAGAATAAAGTGCCTGTGCTTTCTGACAGTATTTTCCTCTCGTTGCTCAATTCTAGTTCTAGGAATCAAGGTGGCTAACATGGTAGAAGTGGCCACCTAATCAATACATGAGGAATTACTTTGCTATTAATGGTGGTAATACTACTATTAATCATATGTATATCTTACTCCTATGTTGGTGTTGTGAAGTGCTACTGAGTTGATTCCGACTCATAGCAACCCTATACAGGGTTTCAGAGGAGCATCTGGTGGGTTTGCACTGTCGATCTTGTGGCTAGCAGTCCAGTGCTTATACTATAGCCCCACACTTTGACTCCATCGTACTCCTATATATAGGGCATATTTAAGCTATCTTAGCCCCAGGTCCGAAATCCCTCTCCTGCCTCCACACCTGCAGTTGCATCCCATCCTTTTCAGCACCATGGTAAAGAGCTCCTCTTCTGATTAAGGCTAATCCTTCCCCATGCTCTAGGTCCACTCCCTCCTGTCCCTAAGGACTCTGTTCCTCCAAGGACACTGTTCCACAGACTATCCCTTTTGCCTTGTCCACCTTAACATCTCCAGCTCTAGTGTTCTTCCTTCAAATTTTAAACTGGTCAAGCCACTGCCATTTAAAAAAAAAAAAAAAAAAGATTGCCATTGCTTGTGATTTTTTTCCCCCTCTTCATATGAAAATTCTAAGAGTTGTCCATATTCATCATTCCTCATTCCCTATCTCCCATTCTTTCCCCAGCCAGGTTTCTGCCCCCACTTGTTATTGTTGTTATGTGCTGTGGAGTTGGTTCTGACTCATAGCGACCTTATACAGGGTTGCTGTAAATCTTTACAGGAGCAGAAAGCCTCATCTTTCTCCCGCAGAAGAGCTGGTAGTTTTGCACTGCTGACCATGAGATTAGCAGCCGTGATTCATAACCACTATGCTGCCAGAGCTACTAGTCACCTAAAAAGCTCTCCCCAAGGCTATTGAGGACACTTTTCAATCCTTCTCCTGCTTGGTCAAAAGTTTAGGATGTTGTTGGCATTCCTTCCTTCTAAGAATGAGTTCATCCCTTGTTTTTCTCCTACCTCAGTCCAGTGCCTTCTCAGTCATCTTTGCAGGTCTCCTTCCTCCATCTACCCCTTACATGTCAGAGGCTCCAGGAGCTGTCCATTCCTCCTCCCCTGCACTCTCCACAACTACCCTGTGTGCTCTTATACACTCCCTTGAGTTGCCACTTATAGGTGGATATCAACTCCTAAAACTATATCTTCAGACAAAATTCCTCACCTGAACTCCATAAACAGTTCCAACAGGCTGCAGGGCACATAAAATAAATCCATCATCTATCCTGCCCTCCCCCACTCAAAACCTTGATTTCTTCTTATTGAATGGCACTGTCACCTACCCAAACGCCGAAGATAGAAAATATGGTGCCCTTTTTGACTCCTTTCACCTTCAATTACTCAGTAAATTTGTTGATTCTAACTCCTAAATAGCTCTTAAATCCATCTTCTCCTCTGCCTACCACTGTTCTGGTTCAGCCATCATCATTGCTGGCCTGTATACAGCAGTGACCTCCAAACAGCTCCTCTTCATAGAAATTGTTGTTTTTGTTGTGAAGTGTCATCAGTGAATTCCAACTCAGAGTAACCCTGTCTAGGGCTTCTGAGGAGCAGCTGGTGAGTTTGAACTGCCAACCTTGTGGTTCAAACCAACCTTGCAGTCCAGCGCATTTACCTGCAGCACCACACCAGGAGTCCATCATTGGAATTAAGTAAACTTTCTTTGAAGCATAGGTCTGATCATCTCACATTTGATGTGCTCACATACAATCATTTTGCTTTAACATTTTAGGGCTCCTTACTGCCCACCAGATACTGTACGGCTCACACCTCTCCTCAGTCCTCATTCATCACTGCTTCCAACTCCTCCCTCTACTCATATATTTAGTTACTTGTGGTTGTGCGAATGAATTCAACTCTCTCACATTGGGCCTTTGGCCAAGCTGTTCCCTCTACCTCACACACTCTTCCTAAACCTCTTAACCTGTATAACTCCAACAATCTCGGTTTGGAAGAGGCCTCTTCTCAGAAGGCTTGAGATTTTCTAAGAAAGGATTAGATACCTCCGCTATGTGCTACACCACAGTCTCCTGTGCTTGGTCATTCAACCCACTTCTGCCACCATATTACTGAAGCCCTGACTTCTCTGCATCCCCAGACAATAAGTTCCACGAAGGCAGAGGCTGCATACAGCTTGTTCTCCACTATTCCCACAATGACTCACAAATGGTAAACTCTCAATAAATACGTGTGGGATTAATAAATGAGCATCTGATCTAGGTATGTACAAGTCTTCCCCACCCCAGCTGAGGTGGGAAGCAGGTTGGAGGGAGGAAAAGTCACAGGGGGAGGGATTTACAGGCTTCTGCCTTGGAATGTGGAAGCAGGTACATGGGACCTGGTGCCCATACACAGCCCAAAGGCCATAGAATTAGGAAGCTATCTGAGAGGGCAAGTCTCCAAGAAGCAAGGAAGGATGGGAACAGAACAAGCAGCCCCTCATCTCAGCTTCTCTGGCAGCAGGGAGGGTGGGGGCTTGCTTCCTCTGTACAGCTGGTTTTGCACACATGTGGCCCTCCACTTCTCTCTTCATGGTTCTCACTTCCCCATCTGCCTGGTTACTCTTGCCTCATCTTCTGCTACTGCATCATTACTTGCTTTTCTGCTACTTGCTTCCCTTCCTCTTCCCCAATCTCTGCTCATCTCATTTCTCTAGCTCTTCTTCTCCTCTTCCTACCATCTCATCCTCTCTACCTCTCCTGCTGTCATTCTGCCTCCTTCTTTGTTTCTCTTAGTCTTCTCTTCAATAACAGTGGCCATCTTAGGTCAGGTGGTTACATCTCCTGGGTTCTGGGTTCCCCTGGTGGTAGACAGCTGGCTAGTTCATTCCAGGACTAGGTCCTCCTTCTGAATTCTTGGCCCCACCGTATGCCCCATCTCAGTCCTCTCGCCACCGCCACCACCAGTGCCTCCCCCTTCAAGGCCCCACCCAGGCTTACCCTCTGTCAGCCCCAGGTGGATGCTCCAGTAGATCTGTAAGCACTGTAGTTCCTTCTTCATGCCCCGCTTGCAGCGACAGTCGTACAACGGACTCTCCTGCAGGACCTCCAGGGCCGCCTGGCACTCCTTGTTGGCCAGCATGGTGTTGCGGTCCCGGCCTGCCAGGCACTGCCGCAGTGTGCGGTAGCGGGAGCTGCAGTTGGACTCAGCTGCACACAGCTCATTGGCCCGGACACAGTCCACTGGGGGACGCCAACCATGTAGCTCAGGGCCCTGCAGGGAGGAAGGGCTGGCCAAAGAGCGGAGGGTCTCGTCTGGGTAGTGGGGAGGGAAGACAAGCATGAATGAGGGCCGCCACAATCTCTGACCCAAGATACAGGTCTGGGGACTTGGACTCTTCTGGGAATGTCACACCCATTTTACACCAATGCAAACCAAGGTCAACTCAATGTTGCCTAACCCAACATAGGGTGGACCGGAGGAAAGACAGTAGAAAGAACCCCAGACACTAATAGCCTTTCCCAAACCCAAAGGAGAGCGCAAACACTCATTTTTCCATGGCTCTATGACTTTTTTTTGTCAGGTGTCTACGCCACCATTCCTCAGCACTGGCCTTAGGCCTAAGAGCCTAGTACAATAAAGCATGGTTGTGGGCTCGGCCTCCACTGGTGACCACAGACAGTTTAAAATGCCAAGAGATCACAGAAGACTACCACAGCCTCGGCAGAGAACCAGGGGCTTCAGGATTTGCGATAGTTTGCAAAGGGGTAGAATTTCACTTTAATACTACCCAGTCCTCTTATAAACCTCGGGATCAGCCAGAGGCCCAACCAAGACAGCGTATTATAAGCCATGAAATCAGCAGAAAGTAACTCAACTTTCATAGCTTGTTAGGACCTCAGTCCCTTAAGAAACCAAGGTCCGAAGAAGGGAGATGGCACTCCAAGGTGACATAAGAGGCAGAAAAGTCCCCTCTGACCCATAGCCCATTTACTCTGAGTTCCTGGACTTAAAGGAAAGACTGGGAGAAATAGGCCTAACCCAATGCTTTGACACATGCCTAGAAGGGAGGTAGCCCAGCATTTCCACACCCTCTAGTCCAACTTCCACCAGACAGAGACCTGAAATTTACCTTCCACATGACAAGTTCTGGCCCAGATCCCCTTCAAAAGAAAATACTAGCCTGGGAAGCAACTCAATTTACTCCCTCTGCCTCTCTCTTCTTCTGCTCTATAGATCACCTTCCTTTCTCCCTGCATTTTTAGCTCTCATGCATCTCCTTCTGATAGCCTCCCAAGAGGTCTGTTTCTCCAGCACCTTTTTTTTTAATGGCCTTGCTTTCTCTTTCTCACCTCCTCTTTTTCTTTCTTCCCTCTGCTCTCTGCCCTCATCTAAAAATCCTCTCCCCTGTCTTTCCTCTTTTTCCTTCCTTCTAAAGAGTCAGATAAGAAACAACTGCAAAAGGGAAACAGCTTCCCTCCTTCACACCCTTACCTCATGGATTGAGCCCAGTTTCTCCAAAGTGGACAAGAGCTCATGACCCCACCCTGTTCATCCATTGTCCAAACCAGTTAGGGCACAGTGCCTCAGAAGGGTGGGGGATGGGAAGAAAAACATGGTAGGGAAAGGCCCACTTGATCCTTTCAAAGCCAAGTTTCAGAATGGTTTCCTCTAGACACAAACCTCTCCTCCCTAATTTCCTTGTCTTCTCCCAAGCCCCTAACTCTGGCTGCTGAACAAAGCCCATACCACGACCTAGCAGTCTAGTCTGCCTTTTCTAAGCCCAAGACTTTCTCTATTCCATCCCACTCTCAAATACAAGAAACTCCAAGGCCAGAAGTACCCTCATCAGAATACCGCAGAATGCCTCTCTGCACCCCGACCAGTCCCCCACCACTACCCTTCTCACCCCCCACCCCCCATCTCTAACCAGAACCACTTCTCACTTATTTCCCCTAGGAGGCCCGCCTCAGAAGGAACTACCGCAGGGAGACAGCGACACCTAGAGGCACAGCTTAGGACAACAAGACTATCACTCCAGAGAGAAAAAGCAAGAGAAAAGGAATCTGCTCCTAAGAGGACAAGGGACACAGGAGGCCTACACCACAGGAGAAGGAAGAGAGAAGCAGGGGGTGGGCCTGTGATGGAGAAAGCCTCAGGGTCTAGAGATAACGACCTTTCATTCTCCCACTGAACAGACCAGAACAGGAAGAGCTAAAGGCAAGATCAAGAAGAAACTAGCGTGGTAGCAGGGCACCTGCCCAGGTACTGGCTAAAGAGGTGTCCTCCTGTACATCTTTATTTCCTGGCTTCAGAAAATTCGTAGGTCCCCAGAGCATAATTCAGGTGCATCTGGAGCACCCAGGAACAGCTGAGCTGACGTTGCCTTGCTTGCACCTGCTGCCACAGCCCAGCCAGTCAGTCTGCTGGAACCTGGAGAACAGCCCACCCTGGTCCCTCCACTAACTTCACCCTTAGCATCCCTCCTGCCCTGAATGAGCCTCAGACTGCTCTGCTGGAGGTAGACTGAGAAAAGAGTATCCTAGCATCTTCATCCCTGACTTTCTGAAGGCAGAGAATTCACAGCATGCCTAAAGGTCAGGAAATGCGCCTCAAGGGATTAAGGCCATAAGAACACTGCCCTACAAGTGGTGCCTAGAGCCCCAAAGAACAATCCTAGGTTCCCATACCCAAAGTGAGCTAGTGCACATGACCAGGGCAATGAGGAAAACTATATCTGATTGCTATTTGTCCCTGTCTTTTAGGTGGCTTCATGACCCCTAAAAGCAGTTAAGCCTAGTCAGAGAATGGAATTATTACAACCTGGAGACTTTAGTCAAGAATTCTAAGAAAGTACAGATCTACAGCCACCCTCCTGAATCAAATGTCCGAAGAGCTAGAATGCAGGTCGGTTCTCAATTTGCTCTTCCCCACCTCATTCTCTCCCTGGGTATATCAACTCTGGAGGTCAGGATGGCTGTACAAGAAAGGCCTCCACACCAAGGTTTCAGGTCCTTGGGAGGGGCACATCAAAAGCCCTTGCTCCTGGGAACCCATTTCCCCACACCCCAGTCCAAAGGGCCTACCTCTCAAGCTCCAGAGAAGCCTCTCCTCCAAGTGGAATTTCCAGTCACCTCCCAAACAGGGGTTTCTTGCCTGGAAAGGAGCCCTGGGACTGAAGTTTCCTGAACATCAACCTATTCCTTCCTCTTTACAGCCCTAACCCACAGCCTTCAATATTCTGAAGTCACTCAGTTAATGCTTCACACTTTGGAAAGTGGCTTCTCAATGAAAGGAGAACCCAAGGCCTGTGGTCAAAAGAAATGTTGCCCTCACTCCCTTCTCTCACCACTCAGGCCCAGGGTGGTAGACAAAGGTCTTTACTCCCAGAAGAGACACCAGAGTGGGCATCTCTGACAACACGGGATGATCCCAACAGTATTTCTGGGAAAGAGAACAGAGTTAAGCCCTCAGCCCTCTTCAACTGGGAAACCACACTCTAGGCCCTATAAGTGTCGGAGGGACCCAGGCTCCCCACTTCTCACTTCACCCTGCACCTCAAAAGGCACCTACACTTAGGAGGCCTGCCTGCCTAAGGTCTTTGCAGCTCAGCAGCCAGCAATCTAGTTGCTTTTCCTGAAATAAAGCTTTTTCTTCTTGGTCCTCACCATTCTTGGTTCCAGAAAGCTGTTTTCAAACCAGCACCAAGAGAAAAGGTCAGGTTTTATAATAGCCCCTCCAGAGTGAACGTCTACTTCCAGAGGGTCACTGAGAAAGGTTTCAGGATGACAGCCCCTCAGCCCCTCCTACCCAGGAGAGAAGCTGCTTCTGGCTTGGGGAGACAGAAAGGTGCAGACCACATCCCAGAACAGGACTATACCTCCTGGGGAATTCAATTCATGGGGTGAGATTATTGGCAAAGAGTCCCTGGGCCAGACCCATACTGAATCTGAAGCCCTATCCTGGTTAAGGGAGCACTTACTACATTTCCAGGGGCCTTCTGTGAGCAGCACCTACCTCCCTACCACCATCCCCAAACTCCTCCTCTAGCAAGCAGAAGGAAACGCAGCACTCATAACCCAGGTGGGCAGCCTGGCTGACCACTGGCTAGAACTGCACTTACGCTGAGCAGATGTGCTCCTTCCGCATACACACATACACACACAGTAGTGGCACAGCGCTCTCTGGAGCATCTAATCACCCGCAGCAGCCTTGCCTGGGACTTCTGGTCAGACACTGCCCTGCAAACAGCCTCTTTTCCCCACCACCACCTCAAGAACGCTCTCTTTAGATCCCAGTTTTCCAAGTAGTTGAGATTTCACATGGCTTAAATGGGGAGAGGGAGAGGAAATCTGGGGTTGGGGGAAAACTACCCTGTTTCTAGGAGTACAAAGCAGTCCCTCTCCCCGGCCCTTAGAGGAGAGAATTTCCAAAATGAGCAGTGGTCTTTGTTCACATCTGTTTTCCTCCCTCACCTCTCACCTTTTTCACCGGAGGAAGCAAACTTTGGCCTTCCTCACTTCTCTTTCCACTTGGGGGAAGAGACGACAGTACACGTTTGGCGGCCCGATAACCCTCCACTCTCACCCACCAATCTGGCTCGGATCTGGGAGGCAGAGAGGGGAATGGGTGGGGAGAAACTTGCAAAGTGTTCTAGGGAGTGGAGCTGCGGGGAAGAGTTCTGCGCAGTGGGGAAGAGGGGTGCGTTTTCCAAGGGTTGATTGGCAGTTTGGGGGATGCCTGCCAGCGCTCTCCCAGAGATGTCCAACCAGGAACTCTACGAGAAACCCAAGTCCTCCACCACCACATTCATAGCAAGATCGACTCGAAGAACCGATCCGGGAAAGGTCGGGCTGACGTGATTTTCCTCTCTCTCCCTCCTCCTCTTCTAGATCAAGAGTTGATTTTTTTTTTCTTAAGTTACTGCAATTTAAACCTATTATTTTGCAGGAAACCAGTGCTATCATTGTATGTATGAAGGAGTGAATGTGTTTGTGTGTGTGTGTGTGTGTGTGTGTGTGTGTGTGCGCGCGCGCGCGCGCGCGCGCGTGCGTGCCTGTGCGCGGAGATGGTTGGGGTGTTTTAAATCTCCTTCCCAATCCCAGAGCATAAACTGCCAGCCAAGGCTCCCGCCACTGCGCCCGCATCCTCGCAGCCCGGGCTCCGCTCGGGTTCGGCACCGCCCAGGTCGGGCTCAGTGCGCTGCTTGGTTCGCGACGCGATCTCTCGCCGGCTCGCAGGGTCTACGGCTACCACCCGCGCCCGCGCCCGCGCCCTCGCCCTCGCCCTCGCCCGCGCCCGCCGGCTCGCTGCTAGCTCCCCGCGTTCTCGGCTTCCTGCTGGCGCAGTCCCCTCTGCCCCCCAGGCTCAGGCGAGCGAGTCGCTTTCGCCGCCCGCAGGTACTCACCTAAAAAGAAGAAGAGGCAGAAGGCGTTTGCCAAGATCATGTTAAATAAATCCCACAGTTCTTTTCTTTTTCTTTCTCCCTTGGGTTAAAAATTAATAACAACAACAACAATACTAATAGCCAAGCAGTGTTAATCAGCCCCAAATCCAATGCGGAGATCCCAGCTAGTCCACCCGAGGAAGATCCTGAGTCCTGCGATTCTCGCCTCTGGCTGGAGGAGGTGGGGTGAAAGGAGGGCGGTGGGCTGCCTCTCGACGCCCCCCTTCCCAGCCAAGATAAAATATATACGTATATACTGTATATATGTGTTTTTATAAGCCAACAGCCCAGTCCTGAGGTCAGACCTCCTCTCAGTTCGTCCCGGAAGGCGCGAGTTCCTGCGGGTCCGATTCCCAGTCGCTTCCCAGAAGGGGACTGGGGAGGTGGGGAAGAAGCGATGTGAGAGTGAAGGGCTGAAGGAAGAGACTAGGGTAGGGGTCAGAACAAAATGCAAAAAAATGAAAGAAATCCACCAACGGGTGTGAAAGCCAAGAAACAATCCAATGGGAGCTTCGAGGACAGGAGACAGGAGTCGCTTCTTTCGCACCAAGACGAAGAAAAGATGGGGGGGGGGGGAATCTTCTCCACTAACCCTTGCTCCTCTCACTTTTTTTTCTAATGGAATTCCAGCGCCCGTTTGTCTCTGCGTGTGTGTCTTTCTCTCTCCTCTCCCTCGATCTTTTGCTCTCGCTCTCCCTAGCTCTCCCTCGCTCTTCTCTCTCCCTCCCCCTTCTCCCTCTCTCCCTGCTCCTCCCTCCTCCCGCCCCCTTCCCCCTTCACGACTCCCTCGCGAGGCTCGCGCGCCCGCGCCCCTTTCGCTCGGGTTCCCAGGCGGCTGACGGCGCGGGGCTCGGGAGTGCGGCCGAGCACTGACACTCTGCAGCGGTGGCGGCTACACGGTGGTGGCGGTGGCGCCGGGGAACGATGGCCAAGGCGCTGAGACTCTGACTCCCTCCGCTTAGCAGCCTGCCCTTCCCGGGACTGACCTGCCGGAAACTGACCGGCTCCCAGGCCACAGTTTTGGCTCAAGTCCACAGAAGCCTTCGCACATCGCTCGTCCTGTCCCACCCACCCCCCCCATCCCCACTCTAAGCCCCGCTCCCGCGGGTGGGTTTCGCGCTCCAAGCCCCCACGGTCCCTGCTCTTGCGGCCGCCGGGTCTCGAAGGCTGAGCCGAGGCCCGAGGGCAACGAATTAGGCATGCCGGAGCCTTCCCGGGGCCTCAGGAGGAAGGAAGGGCAATAGAAAAACCTGCCCCAGCCCGAAAGCCCAAGTACAGCATCTCCCCGTTGGCACCATGGAAAAAGACCCCCTCCAGCACCAGTCCCCAGCGTTGCCTTCCTGCCCCGGGTCTAGGTCGGCGCGCGTAGACACGTGTGCTTTCCGTATGGAGCTCGGAGCTCGAGAACTTTCCCCAAACGCCCGCGGCACTCTGGTCCCCCGCCTGCCCCAGCCGCTCAGCCTTTTGAGACTCCCCTTTCCCCGCTGGCCTTCCTCTTCCAGCTCGGGGAGAAAACTGCTGTTCAGGGGTACGCTGACCGCCTCTTCAGAGGCCGGCGAACCTGTCGTAGCCACACAGGAAGATTCCGGTGGGGACGTCTCGAGACCGCCCCAGGCCAGGGTTTCGCGCCAGGCTCAGCGGCCACTGCCACCTTGCTCAGGGGGGCCCCCTTCTTGGCCACAGGATGGGCTCCGAGGTGCTCGTCACGAAGCAGTTGTTATTTCTTTTCCCTGCTCCTGAGGTGCCGGGTGGGGTTCCCCCTACCCCAGCTGGAAAGGGGGCGATTGATCCATCTGTCGATGGGCCGGGCTCACAGATGTGTTTTAGTCACGGAATTTACAAAAAACACCAAAAAGGAAGCGTCTGGCTGGGAAAGGGCTGAAGGAGACAGGAGGTTGCCGACACGTTCCGGCAAGAGGGGGGCGAGATGGTGGGGCTGCGAACACGCGGGGTACACAAGCCGCGGCGCACACTGGGCCCACACCAAAGAATGCCCGGCGTCGCAGTTTCGCACTCGGTAATTGACACCTTCTCAGCTACAGTAGACCTGCTCTGCATTCCTCACCTCAGCTTTCGCGCTCACAATCCTGCATGCAGCTTCGCGCTCCCTGGCACACATCCTGTGTTAGGCAGGGTGGGGTACACTCAATGCCTGGTAAACTTTCCGCGCTCCCAAAATCGATCTGAGATGGATCTAAGGGGTATTTGGTAGTGCCTTTTAAGTTGCATTTTTAAAAAATTAACAAGACTCTGGAAATGGTAAATGATTGAAATCGACTTGGACTCGAAGGGAGGGGTCACTCATAAAACCAGCAAGCTGCCTTCGCTAGTGGGAAAGCTAGAGGGAGCAACTTCCATGTTGCGGATTTAGGCGGGAACGCAGTTTTCTCTGAGCCCTGCAAGCACAGCATGCAGTTGTCCTCCAACCCGCCTCTTCCTTTCTGCCCATCTCAAAGACTTTGGCCCTCTGCGCCCTCCATCCTCTTTCTCAGCCATTTTGTGATGCCTGAACGAAACTGCCTGGTAGCAGAGGTCCTGGCGGAAAAGGCCACGACAAGAACAGAAGAAAACCCTATCTGGCAGATCCATCCTGTCATTGCCATAGATCTGGTCAGTTGGCATACATTCATTAGCAGCAGAGCATAGCCACACTGACCAGACCTATGTGAATCTCATCTTTTCCTCTTATGAATGTCCCCTTGTCCCAGAAATAAAAGCAAACCAGATGCTTCACAAGATGCTTCACAAGAACCACAGAGGTGCCCTCAGCCCTGAAACATTGGAATGTCCCTCAGTGGATCAACCAGGACACATGTATTGAATACCTACTAGCACAGAAGTGAGGCCGATGGGAAATGTGGTGCCTAAAGGGCTGCTCCTGTCCCAGAAGCACTGATAGGCCAGGGATGGAGTGAGGTCATACACCTGTGAAAACATAGTGAACAACCCAAGGCCCACTGAGATCAACTTAGATAAAGGAACTAATGGTTTATTATACCACTGAACTTCAGGGGAGCACCTGGAGTGGTTGTTCGGGATAATGCGCTGGACTGCAAGATCAGTTTGAATCACAAGGTCACTGGTTCAAACCCACCAGCCTCTTCTTGGAAACCCTATTCAGAGTCACTATGGGTTGGAACTGATTCGACAGCACTTGACAATAACAACGACAATTCCTGGAAGGTAAGATTCAAGCTGGGCCTAGAAGGGTGGGTGAAATTTAGCTGAAGGCAGAGAAGAGTGATCTGAATTAAGAGGAATAGCAAAGGGAAAACAAGGTAGTAAGAAGCACTTGAGGAACTGTCCAGTAGTTGGGAGGAACTACTAGTGGGGAGGAGGCTGGTGGAAGAAATCTGGAAAGTCCTATTGGGATGCACAGTGAGGACCAAATATTTCTGGCTTAGATTTTGACCCCATAGGAGCCACTGAAGATATTTGAGCAGGCAAATGACATAATGAAAATGATGTTTTAGGAAGATTGATCAGACAGCTGTGTGAAGGATGGAGACAAGAGACCAGTTAGGAAGCAATTTTAACAGTTTTGGCCTGTGGTAATGAGGGCCCCAAACAGACTGTGGCGGTGGGCATGGGGAGGAGGTGATTGTCAGAAGCATTGTAAAGATGACTCAGCAGGAGGGTGGTGACAGATTGAACACAGGGGACAGGAAGGAGGGGTCTTGTCCTGCACTCAGAGAGGGAGCAGCCCTGAGAGCTTAGGCTATGTCACTGGAAAGAAATCATTGAACTTGATGGTAATATATAGGTATTAATTCCTTTCACTATTGCAATAACTCTGTAAGTAGGTACTATTATTAGTCCCATGTTACAAGTGAAAAAAACTGAGGAAATGGAAATGATTTAAATTGTCATTTCCAGATTTTAAGTGACAGGCATAGGATTCGAACTCACACAACATGGAACCAGGGCTCTGCACCTATGTGCCATGAATAAGTAAGCAGAGCAAAGTTTCTCTAAGCCTTTGAATTTTCACCACCATTCACCTGTCAGTTTTTCATATTGTGGTAGCTTTCATGTTGCTGTGGTGCTAGTAAATATGCCACCAGTATTTTAAGTACCAGCAGGGTCACCCATGGTGGACAGGTTTCAGTTGAAGTTACAGACTAAGAAGAAGGAGAGGCAGGCTACTTCTGAATGTTTACCCACTGAAAACCTTATGAATAGCAGTGAAACACAGTCAGCAACAGAATATCGACTGTTGAAGCATGATGAAGAGCACCAGAATATTGTCACATATAATGCCGAAAAAATAAGCCTCATAGATTCCACACTCAATTACGACTGAGGAAGAGCTGCCTTCTCAAAGTAGAGTTGACCATAATGACATGAATGGTGCAAAGCTCTTAAGACCTTCATTTACTGATGAGGCACAGCTCAAAATGAGAAGAAACAGCTGCAAACCTCCATTAGTAATCGGAACATCAAATGTACAAAGTATGAATCTAGAAAAACTGGATGCTGTCAAAATGAAATGAAATGCATAGACATCAATATCCTAAGCATTAATGAGCTGAAATGGATTGGTATTGGCCATTCTGACTCTGACAATCACATGGTTTACTATGCCAGGAGTGACAAATTGAAGAGGAATGGCATCACATTCATCATCAAAAAGAACATTATCAAGATCTATCTTGAAATACAAGGCTGTGTATGATAGGATAATATCCATATGCTTACAAGGAAGACTAATTAATACCACTATTATTCAAATTTACACACCAATCACTAAGGCCAGTGATGATGAAATTGAAGAATTCTACGAACATCTTCAGTCTGAAATTGATCAAACATGCAATCAACATGCATTGATAATTATTGGTGATTAGAATATAAAAGTTGAAAACAAAGAGGAAGGATCCATAATTGGAAAATAGGGCTTTGGTGACAGAAACGATACTCGAGATCATATGATAGAATTTTGTAAGACCAATGACTTATTCACTGCAAATAGTTTTTCAGTAACATAAATGGCAACTATACACATGGACCTCATCAGCTGGAATGTATAGGAGCCAAATTGACTACATTTGTGAGAAGAAATAGTAAAAAGCTCAATATCACCAGTTAAAACAAATCCAGGAGCTGACTATAGAACAAACAAAATCAATTGCTCATATACAAGTTGGGGCTGAAGTTGAAGAAAATTAAAACAAGTCCACAAGAGTGAAGATCTGATACTGAGTATATCCCACTTGAATTTAGAGACCATCTCAAGAACAGATTTGATGCATACTCACTAATGACCAAAATCCAGAAGAGTTGAGGATGACATCAAGAACATCATGCATAGAAGTGACTGGCTTACAAGCTTACAAGAGGGAAGCTAGATTCATAGGGCATGGAGGAAGGTAGAATCTCCACTGAGTAGTATACAATCTGTCTAGGCGGGGCTGATGAAATGAAATCTGGATGGATCTCTTGTGATACAATAGTGAATAATTGTTACCTGGACTGCTTGTGAGGGATGGAATTGTAAAGGTAGATGTTTTTTAGCAAGGAAGGGATTGATTAACTTTTCAGCCTAAGAGCGGAGGTCCCTGGGACCATCAAGGGAGAAGAGCGGAGAGCGGGACCCTACCCAGAGAAGCAGTGATGCCTGAGATGGAGGCAGAGACAATGACGTAGAAAGATGGAGCTGTTGGGGACTTTA